TTTAACATTTTATTTATTTGAGAGAGAGAAAGAGAGCATAAGCAGGGGTGAGAGGCATAGGCAAAGGGAGAAGCAGATTCCTCACTGAGCAGAGAGCCCCATGTGGGGTTCGATCCCAGGACCCTAGGGTCATGACCTGAACAGAAGGCAGGTGCTTAACCCCACTGAGCTGCCCAGGCGCCCCCGGTGATGGTAAGTTTGATCCCGTGGTTCAGGGGATATCCCATCAGCCTCCATCTCAAGGGTACCTTTTCCTCTTTGTGATTAACAAGTAACCTACACAGTGATACTTTGAAACTATGTAAGTATCCTATCCTGCAGCAATCTCATCCAGTGGTTTTAACATCCACTGGATGACCCTTACCTGAACCCATCCATTACACTGATGGCTGTAAAAGAGTTATCTTCTAAGGTAATAATACCACATGCAAATGAAATAAATAAATGGAAATTAGAAATTAGCTCTGCCTAGGGAGAAGTTCTGGGGAGGCAGAAGGGATTTGTGCAGAAGGCATGTGATGTCATGAAAGAAAATATTACCTTGAGCCTTTTTACTCAAAGGAGTTTCTGGGTCCCGGATCCATAAAACAGCTATTTCTCCTGGTGACCTCAGTTCTGGCCAGTTTAAGTTAATAAATCATGCAGTTGCAACTCTGTTTTCTCTCTGTGTTGAAATCATTAGCGTTTCTGTATGAATAAGCCCAGACATTCACTCCCTGGTGCTCTCTACAATGTGGCCTCAACAGAGTAATTGTAGGGGCTGACTGGCCAGATGGTGCTCCTTGCCTGTGTTACTGCCTTGGAAGAAGTAGAGGGACTGGGGTAGGAAGCCAAAAGCGGAGATGGTTTCTGATTTTCAAAAAATCCTTACATTCCTGGAATAAGCTGTATTTTGGTTGTAATACCTTATTTTAAAATTTACTGTTGGGGGACGCCTGAGTGGCTCAGTGGTTGAGTGTCTGCCTTTGGCTCAGGTCGTGGTCCTGGGGTCCTGGGTTCGAGTCCCACATCAGGCTCCCCACAGGGAACCTGCTTCTCCCTCTGCCTATGTCTCTGCCTCTCTCTCTGTGTCTCTCATGAATGAGTAAATAAATAAAATCTTAAAAACAAATAAATAAATATAATTTACTGTTGGGTTAGAATTTTTGCCTCCAGTGTTCATAAATGAGATTGTCCATTCTACTGCCCTTAAATGGTCTTGGCATCAATATGACATTAACCTCTTAAAAATGAGTTAGATAATTTCTCCCCTTGGGGATATTATGCATAATATAAGAATTATCTGTACCCTTGAACATTTAGTAAAAGTCTGGCTTTAGTGCTTATAGAGAGGAGATTAGATAGGTAGATTGTGGCATTTCCCTAATACATTAGTACTTACACTATAGAGCAGGAAAAAAAATACAGCTTCATGTAATAACATAGGTAAATCTCAAAACCATAAAACCAGTCACTTTTATTATTTTTGCTTATTTTGTTATTATGGACAGTGCCACTATAAACATTCTTGCACATGTCTTGGTGTGTACATGCAAGTGTCTCTAGGATACATACCTAGTAGAATCACTAGCTTGTAGAGTACAGGCCTGTTCAACTTTTTAAGGTAGGGCGATACCATTTTCCTAGAGGACTTTTCCAATTAATACTACTGTCAGCAACATATGAACACTCCCATTGCTCTGCATAGTCTAGCTAACACTTGGTATTATCCAACTTTTACATTTGGCAGTTGTGAAATTGAATCTTTTTTTTTTAAGATTTTATTTATTCATGAGAGACACACAGAGAGGCAGAGACACAGGCAGAGGGAGAAGCAGGCTCCCTGCAGGGAGCCTGATACAGGACTCGATCCCAGGACCCCAGGATCACGACCTGAGCCCAAGGCGGGTGCTCAACCTCTGAGCCACCCAGGTGCCCCTTCTTTGTGGTTTCAACTTACATATCCCTGATTTCCAATGAACCTGAGATGTTTTCGTGTGTTTATGGATTTCTTATGCTTCCTCTTGAGTGAAAGCACTGTTTCTTTCTTTGTCCATTTTGTTAATTGTCTTTTCTTGTTGATCTATAGACAATGTGTACTCTAGGTATTAAATTATACTTAATTTTATATGTTGCAATCATTCTCAGTTTGTAGCTTTTCACTTTTTTTTGTAGCTTTTCACTCTTTATGTGACTAGAAATGTTTAATGTTCATGTAGTCAAGTTTGTTGATTTTCTTCCTTTTCTTCCTTGACCAGATTAAGAAATATTTTCCTATCTTGCAGTCACAAAGACAGTCCTCTATGTTATTTTCTTTAATAATTTTGTTAGTATCAATGTCTTTAAAACTCTAGGAATTGACTTTATGTATATTGTGAGATAGAGATCCAATTTTATTTTCTCTCTAATAGGTCTGGGGCTTATCCAAACACCATTTATTTTAGAAGTTTCTGTTTGTCTTTTTAGTTTTTTGTTTTGAAATAATTGTAGATTCACAGGTATTTTAAAATAGTGCAGAGAGGCCATACGTCCCCTTCACCCAGTTTCCCTTGATGGTTACTGAGTTGGAAACCTGTGTTCCCTTGTTAATCTCACACCACTACTATACCCACAATGCTTCTGACACTGGATACGTGAAGGGCTTTCCCCACAACAAGCAATCCTCCATGACACCAGCTATGTGACCTACAATTTACCCCAATTCTGATACTATCTACCTGGGGATAGCACCAGATCCCATAGGTTAGGGACTCATTCCCGCAAGACTGCCCCCTATTTTAGATGCTAATTGCAAGTAATACGTCCCCAGATTTTCCCACAACTTCTGTCCAACTTGGCTGTAAATCAGAACTTTGCATCACCTCTTCTCTCTCAGATTCAATTATTTACCAGAACAGAACTCAGGGAAACATTTAATGTTTACTGGCTTATTAAAGGATATGATAAAGGATACAGATGAACACCAAGAAAAGATATATAGAGCAAGGGCTGGGAAAGTCCTGAGCACAGGATCTTCTATCTTTGTGGAGTTAGAGTACATCACTCCCCTGGTATATGGATATGTTCACCAACCTGCATGCTCCCTGAACCCCATACTATTGGGCTTCCTCACATAGCCATGCTCAATGATTAAGTCCATTTCCAGCCCCTCTCCCTTCTCTAGAAAATGTAAGGGAGGGCTGAAAATTCCAAGCTTCTTCTAGTCATGGCTTGGTAGTTCTGGTGACCAGCCCCCATCCAAGGGCCGTTAAGAGAACAAAAGAAATCCTCAGAGACCTAGGAACTCTGTTCCTCAGAAACCAGGGTCAAAGAACAAATATCAGAACAAAAGATGTTCCTAGTGCTCTTATCACTTAGGGAATTACACGAGTTTCAGGAGTTAGATGCCAGGAACTGGGGGCAGAGACTAGTACATATATATTCTATTATCTCGGTTATATCTTACATAATTAGTATACACTGTCAAGCCCAGGATATGACATTAGTATGATGTACATGTGCAGACCTGTGTTACGTTATCACATGTGCATATTTGTGTAACCACCACCACAATCAAGACACGGAACTATTCTTTCACCACAAAGGTCTCCTTGTGCTACTCTTTATAATCATATTCCAGCCCCATCCTCGGCTCATCTTTTCATTCTCTTAACAGTATCTTTCAAAGACTATGAGTTCTCAATTGAAAAAAAAAAACACTCTGTAAAAAATTGGGAAATATTTGGGGGCACCTGGGTGGGTTAAGAATCTGCCTTCAGCTCAGGTTGTAATTCTGGGGTCCTGGGATCACACCCTGGGCTGATGGCAGACACTTAGCTGCTGAGCCACTCAGGCATCCCTTCTGCCTTTCTTTTTATGATTTCCTTCCTTCTGTTAACTTTGGGTTTAGTTTGTTCTTCTTTTTCTAGTTTCTTGAAGCATAAAGTCAAGTCATTGGCTTGAGAGCTTGCTTTTTTTCTTTCTTTCTCAGTGTGGTCATGTTTTGCTATCAATTTCCCTCTTAATACTGTTTTTCAGCATCCCACAAATTTTGGTATGTTGTATTTTCCTTTTCATTTGTCTCAAGATAGTTTCTGATTTCCCTTGTCTTCTCTGACCTTTTGGTTGTTCATGACTGTGTTGTGTAATTTCCACATACTTATAAACTTTCCAGTTTTCCTTCTGTTACTGATTTCTAGTTTCACTCAAGTGTAGTCAGAAAAGATATTTGGTATGATTTCCATCTTCTTAAAATTGGTAAGACTTCTTTTGTGGCCTAACATGTGACCTACTCTGGGGAATATTCCATGTACACTTGAGAATAATGTGTATTCTGCTGATGTTGGGTGGAATGTTCTGTATATACACGTTAGGTCCATTTGCTTTATTGTGTTGTTCAGACCCTTTGTTTCCTTATTGATCTGCTGTCTGGTTGTTCTATCCATTATTAAAAGTGGGGTATCGAAATATCCTACTATAATTGTGTTATGGTCTACTTTTCTCTTCAGTTCTGACAATGTTTGTTTCATATGTTTGGATGCTGCAATGTTCAGTCAGTGTATATTTGTAATGTTTATATTCTCTCTGGTGAACTGGGCCTTTTATCATTATATAATTCTTTTTCTCTTTTGACAGTTTTTAACTTAAAGTCGGTTTTATCTGATATAAATATGGCCATTTCTATGCTCTTTTGGTTACTCATGGCATGGAATCTTTTTCCTTCTTTTCATTTTCACCCTATGTGTATCTTTATAAGCAAAGTGGATCTCCTGTAGACAGCATATAGTTGGCTCTGGTTGTTGTTGCTGTTTTTTAATCCATTCAGCCACTCTGTCTTTTGATTGAGGAACTTATCCACTTACATTTAAACTAATTAACTAAAAGGGAAATACTTAAAACCCACAGTTTGTTCATTGCTTTGTCTATCTTGCAGATATTTTGTCCCTGGTTTCCTCTTTCTGCCTTCCTTGTATGTTGTAGATTTTTTTTGTATTCACATGCTTTGATTCCTTTCTAATTTTTTTTTTGTGTATCTTCTATAGGTATTTTTTAAAAAGCCTTTTATTTATTCATTTGAGAGAAAGACAGAGACAGCAAGAGCACAAGCAAAGGGAGCAGCTGGCAGAAGGAGAGGGAGAAGCAGACTCCCCACTGATTTAGGAGCCCGATTCCAGGAGTAGGACATCATGATCTGAGCTGAAGGCAGATGCTTAACCAGCTGACCCACCCAGGATCTCTATCTTCTATAGGTATTTGTGTGTGTGTGTGGTTACCATAGGGCTTACACAAAACATCTTAGAGTTGTAATAATCTATTTTAAGCTGATAACAACTGTAACCATATGCAAAACCCAACTCTTTTGCATCTTTCCACCTCCAACTTTGTTATTGATGTCACAAATTACATCTTTATATAATTTATTGTATCAATTAACATAGTTTTATAGTCAGTTGTTCTTATGCTTTTTTCTTTTAAAATTCTATACCAGAATTAAGAGTGTTTTTTGCAGGCCCCTGGGTGACTCAGTCAGTTGAGTGTCTACCTTTGGCTCAGGTCATGATCCCAGGGTCCCGGGACTGAGCCCTGTGTCAGGGTCCCTGCTCAGTGGGGAGCCTGTTCTCTCACTACTCCCTGCTTGTGCTGTCTTTCTCAAATAAATTATTAAAATATTTTTAAGTGTTTTTTGCAATACCATTACAGTATTAAAGTATTCTCTATTTGTCTTTTTTTACATTTACTAACAATCTGTATATTTTTATATGCTTTCATTTTTTGTCTAGCTTTTTTTTTTTTTTTTTTTTTTTTTGTCTAGCGTTCTTTTGTTTCAACTTGTGAACTCCCTTTAGCATTTTTTGGAGGGCAGGTCTAGTGGATAAATCTTTCAACTTTTGTTTATCTGGAAAGTGTTTATTTTTCCTTCATTTTTGAAGGATGGTTTTTCCAGATATGATATTCTTGGCTGGCAGGTTTTCCTCTCAGCACCTTGAATATATTATCTTGCTCACTTCTGGCCTGAAGATACAGTGATGATCTTATGGGAGTTCCCTTGTCTGTAGTGAGTTGCTTTTCTCTTGCTGCTTTTCAAGACTCTCTGTCTTTGATTTTTGACAGTTTGATTATAATTTGTCCTGCTGTGACCCTCTTTGGATTCATCATACTTAGAGTCTATTGAGTGTCTTGAAATTGTATGTCCTTGATCATTATTTATTTAATTAAGCACTCTGCCCCTTCTCTCTCTTTTCTCCTTTTGGAACTTTGATAATGCATACGTTAGGTGGCTTTATGATATCCTATAAATCCCTTAGGCTTCCTTCACTTTTCTTCATTCTTTTCTGTTTTTGTTCTTTTGACTCAACAATCTCAAATAACCGGTCTTTGAGTTCACTGATTCTTGTTTGATCAAGTATGTTGTCGAACCACTCTAATGAAGTTTTCAGCTCAGCTATTGTATTCTTCAGCTCTGGAACTTCCACTTGGTTCTTTTTTTATTGTTTATTTTAAAAAAAGATCTTATTTATTTATTCATGAGAGACACGGGGGGGCTGGGGTGGGCAAAGACACAGGCAGAGGGAGAAGCAGGCTCCATACAGGGAGCCTGAGGTGGGACTCGATCCCTGGTCTCCAGGATCAGGCCCTGGGCTGAAGGCAGCACTAAACTGCTGAGCTACCCGGGCTGCCCTGGTTCTTTCTTTTTTTTTTTTTTAATCTATTTGTGAGAGAGTGAGCAAGCAGAAGTGGGAGGGTCGGGTGCGAAGAGGAGCAGAGAGAGAGAAAAAAATCCCAAGCAGACTCCATGTTCAGCACAAAGCCCAATGAAGGGCTAGATCTCACAACCCTGAGATCAAGATCAGAGCCGAAAACAAGAGTCAGACGCTTAACTGACTGAGCCACCTAGGTGTCCCTGTTTGGTTCTTTTTTATAGTTTCTCTTTCTTGATATTCTCATTTTGTTCATGTATTATTTTCCTGATTTTTTTACAGACTGGAAATCCTTTAATAACCAGCCTGGCTAGAGATTCTGGGACTTCTGAAAACCTTTTGGGTGGATGCAATTTCTCTGAACTTATGCTCTAATTTCCCAATTAGAGAAGTTGGCTAGTTTTTTTTGTTTGTTGGTTTTTGTTTTTCCAGGAGCTCATATATCTCTTCCTCCCTCTGGTGTCTATCTGTGGTACTGCAGGTTCTCTGGTGTTCCAGCACAAAGCCACCCCACTCAGTGACATCCAGAAGTTTATGTTGTGCTCAATGACATCCAAAGTACTTTACACTCAATGGCATCCAAAGTATTTTGGTTCCCCATCAGTACCCCAAATCAGGTAAGACAGAAACCAGTTCCTTGGGCAGCCCTCTAAAAATCCAGAACATTGGGTACATGTTCCACTCTTCCCCCTGCCTTTCTTACCACCACCCTTGCTCTCTCTGGAAGAACTATCTGAGCTAAGCTGTGCTAGCTGTCGGTTTCTGGAGTTCTCACAAAAGTATTTTGGTCCATGTTTTGTTGTTGTCACTGTCTCTTTTGGGCAGGGAAGGCTGGGACTTCCTACTCCACCATCTTGGTGACATCACTGCTTTGTCTCTTTCTTATAATGTAATATTTCATTGAATCTAAACTCTCATCAATTATTGAACATATTCCAATTTTGGAAATGTTAAAATGTGGGAGCAGGGAGGATGACCAATGGCATTAGTAAGATACCATCTGTAGTAAGATGTGCCAGTCTTGTTATGGTAGAAACTCACCTCTAAGTATTAGTTAGGGTAAAAGGTTAAGATGCTGTAAAAAAAAAAAAAAAAAAAAGAAAGAAAGAAAGAAAGAAAGAAAGAAAGAAAGAAAAGAAAAAAGAAAAGAGACCTAACAAAGCAATGGTTTGGAATACAAGAAAATCTGTTTCTCTCTCATTAATACTTCTGAAGCATTCAGGCAGGTGAGTGGGATAGCGCTGCTACATGCTAAGTTCAAGAACCCACTTCCTTTGATCCTACTGCCCTACCACCCACTATGATGCAACATCTAGGACACAATTATACTAAAAATTATTTGTCATTTACCTGAAATTCAAGTTTAATTGGGTGTCCTATGTTTTATCTGGCAAATTGGCACTAGGGCACTAGATAGTCTGCAACTATGAAAGCTGGGTTCCCACAGGTTACAACTAGTGAAAGGGGGGGAAGAAAATGAGGTGAAGACATGCCTGCTTTCTTGAGGTCTAGGCCCTGAAATGTCACATACCATTTCTGCTCATTTTCCAATGACAAGAACTTAAGTTATGCGACTACACCTAACTGCAAGGGAGGCTAGGAAATGTTGGCTAGTTCAGTGCTCCAACAAAATGAGCAGATTTTGGAGGATGACCAGCAGTCCATCATAAGAAGCTCTTGGGTTGATCTTCTATGTGCTTTATATCTTCTTTCCTTATCTGTATTTTTGCTCTACATTGTAGGGGCTTTTCTTGATATTTCTCTTCCAACTGGTCTCTTGAATTATCTGATTTGAGCTGTCATATGTTTAATTTCCAAAAGCTATTTCCTATTTTCCAATCGTTTCTTTTTGCTAGCAACCTTTCTTGTTTTATGGAGGTAGTATCTTCCCAGATCTTCCCGAGGATATAATTGGGATTTTTAAAGATTCTGCTGCTCCATTACAACTTTCTATTGTCTGGAGTCACTTAATCCATTTACCTTGTCTCTCCCTTTCATGCTTCTAGCTGTCTTCTTAACTTTGGTGCTCCTCATTGCTTGTTTGTGGCATAACAGAGACCAAGTTGATTAATCCCAGTAATTGAGTTGGTTCTCTCTGTTGCTGTGTGTTTCCCCTGTTGCTGTATGTTTCCCTGAGAGGCCATCCTCTTGAATAGGAAAGATGGGTAGGGTCTTCTGGAAGGCTTTTCTGCAGTGTGAGTGGATGGGTCATTGCTGAAGGATGAGGTGGGGAGAGGGTTTGTAAAAGTCACAATGACAAAAGTTTTATTCTGGGATATTAGTACTATATTAAACACACCAGATTTCTCCTAGAGATTTATTGGATTTCTATAGAATGAGCCTTCTGGGGTCCAGCTGTGTGTGGTTCATTTTTGTCTGGAGGGAAGTGTCAGTTACTCTCTACTCTGGAGGCAAGAGGGAGGTGATGGGTGCAGCTGCACAGACCTTCTACAAACTCTATAGCTTTTAGACCCGCTTTTCATGTCTGTCATCAGTACCTGCCAACCATGAACTCGGAGTCTTTCTGTGGTTTTGCCATGAAGACAGGCTCTCACTTCCATGGCCTGAATTCTGGGCTGTGGCTTACTCCACTCTGCTGAGTCATCAATGTGTGTCATCTACTGTTAGAAGTAAATGACTTTTTGTTGAAGTCTCTGCACCTGCCACCCTTCTTCCCTGCCATTCTTTTTGCTGTTATGTTTTGATTCCTTTTATGTTATCTTAGTGGAGTCTCAGAAGGAAGGGGAAACAATCACTTTTTGCTCAGATTAGAGTTCTTGAACCTTTAATATGCTTACAAACTTTGTGAATCTCCAAGGGTATTTATTGGTTTATTTTTGCAACTGCTTTATGGGATAGGTGTATGTTGTTAAATGGTGAGGCCTTTGTTCTGCTGAGCTCCTTGATGTGTTTGTATATGCAAATTGGCAAAAAGGGCTGAGGAAAGCCAAACAGATTTTTATAATAGAGCAAAAGATGGGGTGCCTGGGTGGCTCAGTAGAGTAAGCATCTACCTCTTGGTTTCTGCTCAGGTCATGATCTTAGGGTCCTGAGATCAAGCTCCATGTCAGTTTAAAGCACCGAGGCTGCTTGAGATTTTTTTCCCCTCCTCCCCCTCTGTTCCTTCCCCTGCTCAAGCTCTCATAAATTAAATAAATAAATAAATAAATAAATAAATAAATAAATAAATAAATAATAAATAAATAAAATCTTCATAATAGAGTAAAAGAATCTGCAATTTCCAGAGCATTTGGGAGAGGATAAGGGTAGCAATGGGAGGGAAGAGAGGAAGCTAGGGACACGCCATGATGGGAGCCCCTCCCCAAGACTGCCAGTCTCTCAAAGGGATTCTAAACTTACAGAAGGCTTGGAGTGGCAAAATTTCTTGGGGAAGCCAATGAAGGTGCTTAGTTCTGTGACAGGGTTGACAGGGACAAAACAGAGGCTTGTACAGTCCGTGGGAACCTCAGACAAGAGGAGACCATGAGAGCATGAATCTCAGGAATTACAGAAATTGTGTGGAGGGTCTGAGCTTTCCCATTCTGTGGAACTGGTAAGGCTCTGCGGCAATCATACAGAACTCTCTGTAGATCAAACGGGCCCCAGCCCTCTTTAGTTCACCCTCCACACTAGCCTGAATGATCATGCCATTCCCCCACTTGAAAATTCTGTCCCTACAGTCCCAAATTCTTTATCCTGGCATCCAACACCCTTCAGAATCTGGTCCCTGACTGCCTTACTGGCTTCATCTCCTCCTCACACAGGACACTCTGATTTTTTTTTTTTTTTTTTAGGACACTGATTATGTCAAACGTTTCACTGTTCCTTAAAACACCAAGCTTTCCCTTCCATCTGAAATGACCTTCCTCTTCTTTGCCTAGTAAACACCTACTCACTCAAGACCAGACTTGATCATCATTTCACCTTCTCTCCCTTCAAAGAGTTACCCATTCCCATCTCGTTCTCCCAACACCTTGTTCTGAGGAGTTTCCCTTCCTCTGAGTTCCCAGCAGGGAGGGGCTGTCTTATTCCATTTTGGACCTCAATGTCCAGTACAGGCCAGTTTAAGGCCCTCCCTGGGCTCCTAGAGCACCGTAGGTATAACCATAATGATATCCATCACCCTGCACTGTAACTCTGGGTTTATGTGCCAATATCCTGCACTCAGGGAATGAAAGAGCAAATAGGGAAGTTAACAAAAAAGGAAGTCAGAGAGTAATAAATAAGTGGACTAGTCAGGACTCAAGTCTGGACCAAAACAAACCCTAGCCTATGAACTTAGTCAAGAAGGGGCAAATAAGATTGGCCAGCAAGTCATGTCCCAAGATCAAAGCAAGTGCTGGGTACATTGGTTCTGGGTCTTACTGGCAGCAGAGACTCCCAGAAAGCCACAGCAATTGTCGCTAAGGCTCTAGGTCTGGAAAGATGATACCAAGCTCCCTAGGCAGGGGACCAGTAGACCTAACATGGTAGTGGGTAAAATGAAGAGCTTGGTCTCGGAATCCCACATACCTGATTTGAATCCCAGCTTAGCCATTAGATCAGGTCATTTAACCTCTCAGATTTGTCTTATCTCAAAAATGGGGATACTACTACCTTACAGGACACTTAGGGAGATCAGAGATAAGAGGTCCAGGAGAACTGATGCTTGGTGGTGTTTGAGGGCAACTTTAATTATTAGGGAGGATGCCAATTCACACACACAAGTTTGGGTGGCTATATGTTTAAGATATCTTATATGCAGATTTTCAAGGAGCAGGAAAATGTATATGTAATAAAAGTGCTTTGTAGACTACAAAACATTAATTCAAAGGGGTACACGCACCCCTATGTTTATAGCAGCATTATTTACAACAGCCAAATTATGGAAACAGCCATGTGTCCTTCAATTGATGAATGGATAATGATGTGGTATATATTCTAAGTGGAATATTACTCAGCCATAAAAAGAATGAAATCTTGCCACATGCAACAACATGGATAGAGTAGAAAGTCTTATGCTGAGTGTAATAAGTCAGTTGGAGAAAAACAAATACTATATGATTTCACTCATATGTGGAATTTAAGAAACAAAACAAATGAGCAAAAGGGAGAGACAAGAGAGAAAGCAAGAAACAGACTCTTAACTATAGACAACAAACTGATGGTTACCAGAAGGGAGATGGGTGAAACAGGTGATGGGGATCAAGGAGTGGACTTGTGATGAGTGCTGGGTGATTAAAATAAAAACTAGGGATCCCTGAGTGGCGCAGCGGTTTGGCGCCTGCCTTTGGCCCAGGGCGCGATCCTGGAGACCCGGGATCGAATCCCACGTCAGGCTCCCGGTGCATGGAACCTGCTTCTCCCTCTGCCTATGTCTCTGCCTCTCTCTCTCTCTCTCTCTGTGACTATCATAAATAAATAAAAATTAAAATAAAAATTAAAAAAAAATCCTTTGTAAACTATAGTGTCCTACAAATGTCGGGGAGTCGTCTGGGAAGTCTTTTATAGTTGGAAAAAATACAGGCTTTGGGTTTAGGCAGAAATAGGTTCAATCCTTGCCGTTTACTTGCCATGTAATCTCGGGCAAATCCCTTTCTGTCAGCCTGTCTCTCCAGCTGTCATAGGCGGGTAACTCTTACTTTCCAGGGTTATATGAGAATTCAACAAGATAATGAGTATAAAGCTCCTAGTACATCCCTTCCTGGGTGGGTAGCAGGATCCCATGTGACAGGTCAGGTTATGTATGGGTGGTGCCAGTATCAGATTCCAGCTATTAGCTCCAATGAAGAGGACCCCCCACTCTGGAAGAGCAGGACCTGATTGGCAAGAGATGTAGAGAGGGGTCTTCTGTATTTGTTGGGAGGAAATCTGGGGGAACATTAAACTGCCATGGAGAAAACAGTTGATATCTGCCACGTGGAGCCAGGCCTACACCAGAACGGCAGGAAGCTGGCAGGGTCCCTGCCAGGCTGTCCCAGGCCTGGGAACTAAACTACTGGCACTAAAGACAAAGACTCCCATTATGAGTTCCCAGCCCTCACTCCCTACTCCCCGATACTGTCATTTTCCTAAGCATAAGTAAGCATCAATCAAGAATCTAAAGGAGAAACGGTTCTAATACGTGGCAGTGACTTCCCATAGAGCAAATGGTCCAGGGCTTCATCAAGAGGCCACCCTAGCTCCCACTTCCAGGGATTCGCATGGTCCCAGGCCAGCCACACGTGGCCCCTCCTTCTGAAGCCACTAAGTGCAAGCAATGGAAAGAGCATCAGCTCAGAATCAAGGGAGGCCCAAGTGTGAACTCTGGCTGCCTCATACCCCTGCTGCGGGACTCCACTTCTCCTCCCTCGTGTCCTCGTCTTACTCCCGTGAGAGCTGCTGTGTCAGCTCATGGACACAAATGTGTGCTGTACAATCTACAGCAGAGGTGGATGCTCAGTTACTGTGACCTCCTCCTCAAAGGCCCCAGAGCCACAGCCTGCTCTCCTCCGCTTTCCAGAGCAGTCACCCTGGGATCCAGCCCCCTTCCAGAGGCTGCAGTGCCACCAGCTCCCCAGCGCCCACTTCCCTGATGCCCCAAATAAGTACACAGGTCCTTTTCATTGCAGGGTTTTACTGCTAATCACTCTGGAACAGATGCAGGTTGCAGGGGGTGTAAGTCACAAACATGGCAGACTGTGAAGGTCCCTGGATCATGGCTCCCTGAGGGCTTCCCTTTCATTCCTAAGGCAGGACCAGACCTCTTCTCCAGGCCCAGGAGGCCCCTTGCATTGGGAAGGCTGCTCCTCCCAGCGCAGGTGGGGCCCAGCAGATGGGAGCCAACAGCCACCACGATACTCCCTAAGTGGTTCATATTCGATCCGGAGGATCTTCAGACTGTGATGCCCACCCCACAGGTGCTTCCTCAAAGGCCAGGGGAGGGTTGCCCTAACGATAGGAACACGTGCTAAGCCTACCCTACTTCTCTTTCATCCCGAGGAGATGAAGCCACGACTGGATCCTCCAAACTTTCCAAGACAAGACACTGGCCTGGAGAGAGGCAAGGATCTTTACTCGAGAGTCCCTTCCCAGGACTTCCTGGAGATCCTGGCTTCAGAGGCAACAGGAATCCATTCTCCAAAGTGAGATGAGGAGCTAGAGGTCAAGGGGGGCAGCAGCAGATCCTACAGATCCTCTGACACTAGGCTGGGCTCTCTCCCTCTCCTCTCCCTCATTGTCCTTCAGCTGGAGTCTTTCCCGGCCTGCTCTCCCAGGTGCGTTTTCTGGTGGCGGATGAGGTTTGAGCTCCGGGAGAAGTGTTTCCCACACAGAGTGCACCAGTAGGGCTTCTCCCCTCTGTGGGTCCTCTGGTGCGCTCCAAAGTTGGAGATGTCGCTGAAGGTCCGCCCACACTCGGCGCATTCATAGGGCCTCTCGCCTGTGTGTGTGCGGTGGTGAACGCCGAAGCTGGAGCTGTTGCTGAAGCTCTTCCCGCACTCACAGCAGATGTAGGGCGCTGGCTCCAGGTGGGTCCGATGGTGCACCGCCAGCGTGGCACTCTGGCTGAAGCTCTTGCCACAGATGTCACAGCGGTACGGCCGCTTGCCCAGGTGGTCTTGCTGGTGGGTGGTGAGGTCCGAGCGTCGCCGAAAGCTCTCCTGACACTTGGGACATTTGTAGTGCTTCTCTTCCAGGTGGATCCGCTCGTGCCGGATGCGGTTGGAGCTTCTCGAGAAGCTCTTGCCACATTCAGAACATTTGTAAGGTTTCTCGCCAGTGTGGATCCGCTGGTGTGTTCTCAGGTTGGAGGTATTATTGAAGGTCTTGCCACACTGGGCACATATAAAGGGCTTCTCGTCGGTCTCGGGCCTCGGGTGAGCCCTGGGGCCCCCAGGCTCTCCAGCGGGGACAGTGACTTTCTGCCAGGGCTTTTTTGGATGGATCTCTTGCAGACCCTCTGACAGGCTCTCCTGCCCATGCTCTTTCTCCCCATCTGGGATCCGAAAACCCTCAGAGTCATCCACTCTCCAGGGCTTACCCCATTCCCCTTCGTCAGGCAGGTACTGTTCTGGATCCTGCTCCTTCTCACTGCCCATTTCTGAACCCTGAAAACGAACACAAATGGCCAACACCTTTATTCCTGGGGTCAGGCTAGGCCACAGGGAATCTGTTCTGGCTGAAGGCGTGTACACCTTCCCCACGGAACCATCCATCAGAAATAGCCTCAATGAACTGGAGCACCTGGAGAGAATGCCTTGCATACAGTCACACACAGCACGCACTCGCACACGCTTATAGCCACAGACAGCCACACCCACCACATATAGAGACACAGCCCTCCCAAACACGGCCACGGCTACACACCCGCACAAAATCACACACACACACACACACACACACGCCACGTACAAAGACACAGATGAACCACGTTCTCCCACACACACAGCTACACATACACAGTCCCAGCCTAGGCAAACATCAACAGATGCCAGCTGAGTTCCTACAGCCCAGGACAGGGAGAGGGGACGAAGTGCTGCCGCTGAGTGTGGTGTTTCCTCTGGGCCCTAGAGCAATGATGGCACCTCGGAAGGCACAGAGGGCCGGTGCAGATCTGCTGGGGTGACAGGACCAAGGGATGAGGGGTGGAGGCACAGACTGTGATAGCTGATGGTAGAAACCAACAGACTTCCTTCAAGTCAGCAAGTATTTCTGGAACACGCAACAGCAGTAATGGAAGGAGCACTGGCTACATTCAGGGCTGGATCCCGATGGTGACACGCACGACAGAACCGTGCAGGCTATTCACGCCCTCCAAGCCTCAACTCCCGTCACTCACACCGTGATACCCGCCTACGCTGCAGGGCTCTGTGTGCGTAGGAAATGCCTACAGTGTGTTGTGGCAGGTACGAGTAATTCAGCAAACGACAGCTGCTGTGACCACTGTGGAGGACACTCTGTCCTCGCCCTGCAGAGATTACAAGAATGAAAAAGAGCCTTTACGTGATCTTGTTAGGAAAGAAAAAACTTTTAAAATTAAAAAATGGTGTAAGACTCTATATAATCTCAAATGTGAAATACAGACAGAGCCTCAAATCTCTCAGTGGAGGCCAGCAAACTTTTCCGGAAAGGGCCAGACAGTAAATATTTAGTAAATATTTGAGACCCTAGGATCTCTGCTGAAACTAGTCAGCTCTGTTGTCGTCTCAGAGGCAGCCGCAGGTAACAGGAATAAAGGAATGAGTGTGGCTGTGTTCCAGTAAAACTTTAAGACAAAGGGAGGTGAACTGTAGCCTACCCAACCCTGTTATTGAGTGTTTCTTGAAGAACCTAAATAAGGAGAACCTGCCTCCTCCTCCTAAAACATAAGTCCCACGAGGGACAGGATCTTTGTTTTCTAATGTAATCCAAATTCCTCAAGCAGTGACGGTCACATACTGTAGATCTTCACTATTATTTGTTGAACAAGTGAAGGCCAGGCCTGTCTCCAGCACCCATTTCATTCTTCTTTGTGTCTGTCTCACCCACTGTTTCTCAGGAATCATCTACCCACTTCCACCTTTATGACCCCGCAGAATCTTGGACTTGCCCTTAACAGTGATTTGCAATCATCTTTTAACATATCTGTTTCCAGGGGATCCCTGGGTGGCTCAGGGTTTGGCACCTGCCTTCAGCCCGGAGCCTGATCCTGGAGTCCTGGGATCGAGTCCCACATCGGGCTCCCTGCATGGAGCCTGCTTCTCCCTCTGCCTGTGTCTCTGCCTTTCTCTCTGTGTCTCTCATGAATAAATAAATAAAATCTTAAAAAAAAAAAAACATATCTGTTTCCACTAGCAGCTTATAAGCAATTTGAGGGGAGAGACTGGGTCATTTTGGCCACCTCTCCCCAGCATGAGGCCCGGATATGATCTGAATTTGGGCCCCAGCCCCCTCTCTGCAGGGGGCTACAGGGTCCCCACCCACTCCGAATCCTGCTATTCTAAGAACCTACAATCTATACCAAGCTCTGGCTCTACTCAGGTCCGCATGCTGGATCAAAATAAGAGCAAGAAGATTTAGGATTATGGTTACTACCTGCAGTTTATGGCCCAGTGTGGGGAAACAGGACACAAACTCCAGGAACTGGCATACAGTGTAGAAAGTTCTGGGGGGGGGAGGTGTCAGGAACTGTGCCTTAGTCATCTTTGTACCCACTCATCAATGCTTCCCTCATTACCTGGCACGTTATACAGGAACCAATAATAATAACAATAAATATTTTTGAAGCTCATACTAGGTGCTAGGCCTGGGACTGAACACTGTATGCACATCACGTCATTTCGTTTTCATGACTTATTTTGGAGATGAGGAGACCGAGGCTCAGAGAAATTGTGACTTGCCCCAGGGCACATAGCACGTGAGTGTCAGAACTAGGACCTGCGCCCCTCACACCAAAGCCAGCCAGCGCCTTTAAGCAAGACACCAGTGATGGAGAGAGGAGGGAGGGAGACAGGAAGGGGAGTGGGGAGCCCCAGGCGGGGAGAAAAGGGAAGGAGGAAGGAGTAAGAACAGTGCCAAGGGAGTTCAGAGGACACCTGCCTCCCTTAAGAGATCGGGGATGAGCAGCTACATGGCAAAGGTGGTATCTGAGCTGGGACTTGCAGGACGGGTGAGCAAGATTGGGGCTCGCAGGGATGGGGAGCCCCCTATCTACTGAGAGCACAGTGGCAGGTAAAGTACAGATGCACTTTCATGCCACATTTCAAAGCTTTGGGGAGAGAAGGCCCCATGGGGCTTGTGGTCCCCGGAGGCTCTAGGTTCCGGGGTACAGGGAGGATCGAGGGTGGAAGGGATTGGGAAGTGGAGAAGGGGCCAGGGCTAAGAAGTAAGAGCCAAGACCGGGCTGATGGTCACAGGTGTGCCAGGGGGGCAAGGGCCTGGGTTACGGAGAAGGGGCCACGCGGGCTGATGGCCACAGGTGCAGGGGGCAAGGGCCTGGGTTACGGAGAAGGGGCCACGTGGGCCGATGGCCACAGGTGCAGGGGGCAAGGGCCTGGGTTACGGAGAAGGGGCCACGCGGGCTGATGGCCACAGGTGCCGGGGGCAAGGGCCTGGGTTACGGAGAAGGGGCCACGCGGGCTGATGCTCACAGGTGCGGGGGGCAAGGGCCTGGGTTACGGAGAAGGGGCCGCGCGGGCTGATGGCCACAGGTGCGGGGGCAAGGGCCTGGGTTACGGAGAAGGGGCCACGCGGGCTGATGGCCACAGGTGCAGGGGGCAAGGGCCTGGGTTACGGAGAAGGGGCCACGCGGGCTGATGGCCACAGGTGCGGGGGGCAAGGGCCTGGGTTACGGAGAAGGGGCCACGCGGGCCGATGGCCACAGGTGCAGGGGGCAAGGGCCTGGGTTACGGAGAAGGGGCCACGCGGGCCGATGGCCACAGGTGCGGGGGGCAAGGGCCTGGGTTACGGAGAAGGGGCCAGCGCGGGCTGATGGCCACAGGTGCCAGGGGGGCAAGGGCCTGGGTTACGGAGAAGGGGCCACGCGGGCCGATGCTCACAGGTGCCGGGGGGCAAGGGCCTGGGTTACGGAGAAGGGGCCGCGCGGGCTGATGGCCACAGGTGCCAGGGGGGCAAGGGCCTGGGTTACGGAGAAGGGGCCACGCGGGCCGATGGCCACAGGTGCATGGGGCAAGGGCCTGGGTTACGGAGAAGGGGCCACGCGGGCCGATGCTCACAGGTGCCGGGGGGCAAGGGCCTGGGTTACGGAGAAGGGGCCACGCGGGCCGATGGCCACAGGTGCATGGGGCAAGGGCCTGGGTTACGGAGAAGGGGCCACGCGGGCTGATGCTCACAGGTGCCAGGGGGCAAGGGCCTGGGTTACAGAGAAGGGGCCACGCGGGCCGATGGCCACAGGTGCATGGGGCAAGGGCCTGGGTTACGGAGAAGGGGCCACGCGGGCCGATGCTCACAGGTGCCGGGGGGCAAGGGCCTGGGTTACGGAGAAGGGGCCGCGCGGGCTGATGGCCACAGGTGCCAGGGGGGCAAGGGCCTGGGTTACGGAGAAGGGGCCGCGCGGGCTGATGCTCACAGGTGCCAGGGGGCAAGGGCCTGGGTTACGGAGAAGGGGCCACGCGGGCCGATGCTCACAGGTGCCGGGGGCCAAGGGCCTGGGTTACGGAGAAGGGGCCGCGCGGGAAAGTGGGTGAAGGGCGTTTAGGGTCAAGCACGGGGCAGCGGACGGGGCCCTGCGGAGGGCAGCTTGGTGCGGTGTGGGGGAGCCGCGCAGGGGTCAGAGCGCCCGAGGGGCGGTGGGGAGGGGAGGCGCAGGCTGCGGTCAGACGGTCAGGGCCCCGCCCGAGGGGTGGGCGGTGAAGAGCGGGGCGGGGCCCGCGCCCCAAGCCGGGGCAGGGCCGCGGGGCCTGCGGAAGGTGCTGGGGCAGGCGCCGGGCCGCGCGGCGGGGGCGGCCGCGGGGGCGGCGGTCGGGGCGACCGGACCGCCGAGCTCACCTGCCCCCCGCCCGGCCCAGGGAGCAAAGCCACAGCCTCTGACTCCCCGGGAGGAGGGAGGGGACGGTGCTCAGAGTTCCCCGCGAAGCCGTGTCCGCCTCCCCCGCTCCCCGAGACTGCGACCGCGGCCCCAACCCGGACCCACCTCGCTCCCGCCGCTCGGTCAGGAACAGCGCCGCCTCGGTGGGCCGGGGGAGGAGCCGGAGCCGGAACCCGGCGAAGACCCGCCCTGCCCCTCCAGGATTGGGTCCCGAGGAGGACCCTTCCTTCCCATTGGCTGTACCGGCTGCCTCCGCGCGAGAAACCCAGGCGGGACCGCCAATAAGCTTTAGTCTCGGGCAAGGCCTGCTGGGAGTTGTAGTCCTGAGGCAGAGCGTAGACTCGGAGAAGGAATTTGCGAAGTTTAGAACCCAGCGGCGGAGGCTGAGTTCCCGTCCGGGGCTTTGGGTCTCCTTCTACGCGTTGGAAGCCCGACGTGCGGGGCCCGCGGTTCTGGGAAGTAGCAGAATCCGCAGAGCTAAGCTGCGTGACCTCCAAGGGCTCATGTACTGTTTCTTCTCTACTTGGAGCTGGTGACACTTGACGGTCCGGTAGACAGACGTCCCGGGAAGCCTGGAGTCCCGCGCTTTGCTCGAGGTTTAGAATGCAAAGTCAAAGGATTGCAGACCTAGAAGGGAGATTAAGGATCAGCTAACCCCCCCCCCAAAAAAAAAAAATCAGCTAACCCAAGCTGCTTCTCGGAGAAGCTCAACGTCCCCTGTTCGAGGAGCTGCCTCTGGGTCTCCCAAACACTTCTGCACAGGGACTTTTCCTGGTCCTACGTCCATAAACCTCATTGCCATGCATCACACCGGCACTATAAGGCTTCTAAGGTGTAGCCAGAAGTCTAATAGCATATTCTATATGCATGGTATTTCAGTGCAAAGAGCAAAGAATACTGTCTTCAGAGCTAGCTAAACTAGATTTATAATCCCAGTTCTACTGCCTGTTTGGAGCACGATTTTGCTCCCCCATAAAATCCCCCATTAAAAAAGGGTAGAATTGTTGTAAGGATTAAATGAGTTAAAGCTTCTGCTTCCACAAATATCTGTTCTCTTTCCTGTTGGTGCAGCCAGTGTGAAGGATGGGAACTGGTTTTAAGATTCGGCAATTCGAGAAAGTATGTTTGAAACTATGAATGAATGAAATATAAATCCCCCACGTATGCTATTGCTTATAAATTGATATAAGTAAAAATACTGAGAAGGCAGGTCAGAAATAAAACTGTCGCTTTGTTTCTAACTGTGGTTAAAGCTTGCTTGGGTGGATTCAAGGCTGTTCAAAAACTAATCCCATATTGAGTCCCGCATTGGGCTCCCTGCATGGAGCCTGCTTCTTCTGCCTCTGTCTCTGCATCTCTCTCTCTCTCTCTCTGTGTGTGTGTGTGTCCCTCATGAATAAATAAATAAATAAAATCTTAAAAAAAAAACCAATCCCATAATGTGTTTTTCTATTACCAATGCAAAGCCTTTCCCCACAACTCCTCATTCATGATGAAAATGACATCATGCCAAACAACAAATACCAAACTTTTATTTAAGAGCTGTACAAAAGCACACAAAAAATTTTACCCACGCATTGTGATAGTTAAAGCTATATATCAGCTTGACCAGGCTAGAGGGAGCCCAGACATTTGGTCAGATGTTATTCTGACTTTCTGTAAGGGTGTTTGGGGATGAGACTAACTTTTGAATTGGTAGAATGAGTAAAGCAGATTGCTCTCCCTAATGTGGGTGGGCTCCAACCAACCAGCAGAAGGCCTGAATAGACCCAAAAAGCAACCCTTCCCTCTAGTATGAAAGAATTCTTCCTTCCTGACAGTCTTTAGCCTGGACATCAACTTTTTTTTCCTACCTTCAGACTCAAATGGAAATATTGATTCTTCCTGGGTCTCAAGCCTGTCAGCCTTCAAACTGGAAGTACACTATTGGCTCCTCTGCGTCTCCAACTTGCTGACTAACCCTGCAGATCTTGGGACATGCTAGCCTCCATAATTGTGTGAGCCAATTCCTTATAATAAATCTCTTTGTACCTATAAATATAACAAATATATATTGCTCAGGAGGACTCTATTATTACACGCATTAACAGAAAAGCCCTAACTTCTGACAGAAAGATCCAGTTTCCATTGGGTAGAACTGCATACTCATCAGCAAACTGATAGCTAGTACCTCCACAAAGAGGCCAGATTGCATACATGGAGTGACCTGAAAGTGAGTAGGCTTCAGGACGCCTGGGTGGTTCAGTGGTTCAGTGTCTGCCTTCAGCTCAGGTTGTGATTCTGGGGTCCTGGGATTGAGTCCCGCATCGGGTTCCCCGCAGGGAGCCTGCTTCTCCCTCTGCCTGTGTCTCTGCCTCTCTCTCTTTCTGTGTGTCTCTCATGAATAAATAAAATCTTTAAAAAAAAAGTGAGTAGGCTTCTTTCTGAAATCCACACCAAAGAATTAAGGTTTCACTTTATCCTCACATGTGGGCTACCAACTTCCTATGTGAAATCAATACTCTCTGACCTAAGAGGCTGTTTGCACCACAAGTAGTAAAGTCTTCCTGGAAAAAAAAAACCCCTCTACATTGCTGGTTAAACTGGACTTCTCTAAATCCCAGGAGGAGAGTCAAAAGGGACAGACAGACAGACAGACTCATCCATGGCTGTCTTTTCAAGGCCACACACAGCTGGGTTGCTATGTTTAAAGCTGTGTGCCCAGCTCCCTGATCATGCTCTTGAGGCCTGTCAGGATTGTGACTATCACATTTAAAATCCCTGAACCTGGTTATTATCCATAGGTAAGTTAACTTTGAAAACATGTACTTTAGCTCTAGATGTCAGGAAACTTCATTGTAAACAAGCATCAGGGAAGTAGACCCGAATGGCACGTTTTACCCCTCCAGCCTCCCCACCCCCATTATTCCAGAAGAAAGAAGGAAGAGCATGTGACCCCAAACATGTTTACTTTATAAAGCTGGATTTAGGAGCTAGAAGCCTGCACTGAGAAGAGGGCAAAAAAGCCATTCTGGAGGGGATAGGAGAGAAGTGGGGGACTGGGCACCATAACTTCATGACTAAAAGGTCAAGTGCAGGATGAGGCACTTGAAGGTGAGGTTCTCCTAAACAGCTCCTCGAGTGCAGAACCCCTGTATCTTGGGAACGCTCATTCACCATCACCACCTAAACCTAATCTGATTGTTCATTTGGCTTTCAAAAATTCTTCCAGGGCAATGGGAACTTTAGGTCCCTTGAAAGACAGCAGAGCTTAGAACTGAGTCCTGGGTGAAAGGTGGTTTGAATCAAAATCACAAAGTCCAGGTTTGGGGAGAGGAGCTGAGATGTTTCAGGTATTGGGCCAGCAGACTGAAATCCAGGGCAGGGCGCTGGACCATCAGGGGAGCAGGTAATGAGGTACAACCCTAAAAGGAAGGCACCTTGAGTCCCCGAAGGGCTGAGCCAAGGTCAGAGGGCCAGGGCAGGATCATATCCTCGGGTGGGAAAGGCTCGGGTGCCCGAGGGGGCAGTAAGGAAGGGTCCACCGTCATGGCCACATCTCCATTAGCGTGGACTTTTTCTTCTGGCTTGGGGCCAGTCGGTGGCTCTGACTTCTGGAGTTCTGAGCAGATGATTAGAGGTGCCGTATTTTTCCCTCCATCATGAAGACAGGGCTCGAAGAAAGGGCGAAGGGGGCCAGAGAAAGTGTGGGTGAAAGTAAAGATGTGAGATCTGTTGGTCACATCGTAGAAGGAAATGACACCTGCTTCATAGTCCAGGAAGATCCCCACACACCTCGGGGGCTCCTTCAGGCGCAGGGGGGTCTGCGGGGATGTGAGAGCTTCGTACGTGTTCTCACTACTCTGGCGGACTAGCCAGTGTCCATTGGCGGGGGTGGCAGTGACCTTCCCCTTCCTGCTCACGGAGTCACTACACACCCCCAGGGCCCATTTGGTCTTGTTTCCCACGTCCACCTCCCAGTAGTGACAGCCCGCCGTGAAGTACTCAGCGCCCAGGACGCTGACGACAAAGTCAAATCTCTGGGGGCCGTCGGGCACAGGTTGCCTTTTATCTCCAAGCTTCACCCCTCTCCGGTCCTCAGATAGGATGAGTTTGGGATGTGCTGTGTCCGGGTCCAGGGTCACTGCCACTGCAGAGAGTCACTGACAGGTGAGGCTGGGGAAGGCAAGGTCTTAGGGGATATTTGGGTAGCTCTGGAGGGAAAGATAATCTCTAGGTCTGTGACCACTATCATTGGCCTGTTGGAGTTCATGGCTCCCCTTCTCCTACATGTGCAGAGAAGACTGTCAGTCTCCCAGATCCACTGGCAGTCTATTAAGTTGAAAGAGGAAAAAAGTATTTCATCTGCCTCAATCCTGTCTCTGTCTTCAATGGTCCCAAGGAATCTAACATATGATAACAGACATAGGCTTTGACGTGAGACCCAGCAGCCAGCTAGGGTGTGTGAGTCCCAGCTCTGCCAACTTGCTGATTATGTGGCCTTGGCCTTGTTATATAGCTCCCACCTTCAGTTCCTTCCCATGTAAAATGGGAGTAGGGCTGTTATTCAGATTTGATGAGCTAATGCATGACATAGTGCCTAGTTCACACAGTGAGTGTGCGATGCTCACTTTGGTTGTGAAAATCACTGCTTATAATTACCATTTTAAATGATAATATAGAGAGAAGGATTCTTCTTTAAAATTGTGGATTATGAGGGTCGCAGTAAGTCTTCCCCCTTCCCCCAAGTACAGAACACAGGCTCTTTTTGGAGTGTAAACCCATGACGTCTGTACTCAGGGCAGTGGGAGGAAGCCAGACCATGAGTGTCGGAAAGGTTTGTGAGCTCCTTGAATGCTAACCAAAGTGACCTGGTGTTCTCTCAACTGCCGACTCATTGATTCTACTGCACCTGCTTGAAGGAGGCCATGTGAACAGAAGGGGGATGAGCACCGGGGAAATTGATACAAAGCAGTGAAAATAGCAGGTCTCGTTAAAATAGCAGCCAAAATTTGCCAACTATTTAGGAATAAAACAAAAAGAGATGTGCAAATCGTTTAGAGTAAAACTACGAAACCTTTTTGTAGTCTGTGCTGTTGGAGCATCTGCCTCACCCATTCTCTTCTCGGAGAATCTTAATCACCACCAAGTCGCCCCCCCACCAAGAAAACTGATCTTCGGAGACAGAAGGACATGGCAGGTGTGTAGAGAGGGATAAGAGCACTGCCTGTGGGTTCAACTGTGGGATAGGAAAGACTTCCCAAACTTGAAAGCATGGGAGACACTACACAAGAAAAGATGAATAAACTTGACTACATAAAAATATAACACCTGTGCATCCAAAAATACCATAAGGAAAGTAAAATGCAAATGCAAACCTTGGAAAAATAATTCATGAAAAACATGACAAAGAACTAGTATACTTTATATAGAAAGAATCCTCACAAGTCAAAAAGTAGCCAGGACAGGACAGGAACAGACAAGTCACAAAGATGAAGTCCATATAAGCAGTGAACTTGAGATAAATCTCAAAGATCATAGAGAACCCATAAGAAGATCAAAAGTGTTCTAAAAGAGGGGAGATTTTCTAAATCTAAATGTGGCCCCCCCACATCAGAAAGATTTTTAAAAATTTTGATAAGCAGATAGATATATTTGATTTTAAAAAGCTTTCAAGGATAGTCTGCATTCCACAGGACCAGAGCAATGAGCTCTCAGACATGTGGATGACCTGACTGGTATAACTCACCGAAGTGCAGCCGAGCCCTCCTCCAGCCTGGAAGATGTAAAGGAGATGCTTGAATTAAAGGATAGAAAAATGGAGAACTCCTGGGGTGTGGGGGCCCAGGTGTGGGACAAGTGTACCTCACCTGAGTTGGCCGCAGATCTTTTCAACTCTATAAAAGAAGAAACAAGGGGATGAGCTATCACTGGAAATACAGAATCGATGGGAGATAATGTGATAGAGGAGTTAGAAGAGCATGGGACACTTACTCAGTTCACTCCGGAGTTTCTCTAAAGAATAAAAACAGTTGGACCAATCAGAACAAGGGCTTCTACGTGCCCAGAGCATTGCAGTCCCATCCCAACCACATCCCCACATCAGATCTTCAGTACCAGTACCCTGAGCTTCCTTCCCCATGATAGGGTTGGCAAAAGCAGTGGCTCCCAGTGGGGGGCCAGGGCTCCCCAGAGACCCGACAGTCAACAAATTCCTCAGTCCCGCCATAACTTCCCCACAGACGGGGTCAATAACGCATCTTCTGCATATAGGTCATGACAACATAAATATTTGTAGATGTTGTGCAAGAAGAATAAAGTATAAGTTCATTTAAAACTATCACCTAAAAAATATTAAAAAAAACCTATCACCCAATTTCCACTTGATTTTCTTAAGTAATATTTTTTCAATGTAAAATAAATAGACATGTCACATTTTTGAAGATTTCTGGGTTATAAAGAGGTTCCCATACGTGAAGTGGTGGGGAAACACTGCTCCACATATTCACTTTAATGAGGATTCATATGTTTCAGGTCCCATCTAAGGGAATGTCATGCCTCGGGAAAGAATAGGGTCTTCCAGGAGGCTCCACCTAAGGGAGGTAAGCTCTTCCTGGTGGAACATTTCCCATGTAGGGACCAGATAACAGTTGCATGGGAAAGAGGAACAGGGAATATCTGAGAAGAGAGGACTCTGGGGACCAATACACCCCCTACCTCCATGGCCTCAAGTACACTTGTTCCCTCCCCCACCACCCCAAGAAGTGAAACCAAGACACTCATCCTAAAGCAAAGATGTCAGTCAGCAGAAGGTTTGTGCCATGGATGAGGAGCAGAACTTACTGAGGGCTTTATGGAGCCTTCCTATAAAACACAACAGAAAAAGGCACGAGTGAATAGATGGGGCTGCTTTATCCCTGGGATACAGGAAGGCTCATCACTCCATCCCCCCATGGTGGAAGGGGGCGATGACCATCCTGTGGGCCCCGAAACCAGTCACATCTCTCAAAGCTCACACTGGAGAACCCCATGGCACTTGTGCCACCTTCCCAATGACCCAGGCTGCCCAGAACTTTGGTTTCTCCTTTCTCTTCTACCCCCCTTTCTGCCTGGCTCCTTTTCTATTGTCCATATAAGTGTTTCTGTATGTTTGTGACTGTGTGCACATGCATGTGTGCCCTGCTGCCCTTTGACAACCTACTGTTTATAGTAACGATGGTGTAAAACTAGCTGAAGGCGGAGTATTGGCTTGTTGACACAGCTCTGTTATTCTCAACAGTAACTCCCCTGAAGTCCTGCAGAGATATTGATACATTTGGAGGTCTCAGTTTTGGAGACACAAGCAGCAGGCTTCCAAGGAGTGCTGTGCTTGTGGCTTTTCTGGAGGGACCATTGGTCTATATTTTCTCCTAGCGCAGGCCCTGCCCAAAGAATTAAAGTTATGAATGAGTTATGAGTCCACTCGCAGGCCCTGTGCTAAGGGCTGGGCATGCGTTAGGCATTGTGCACTCAGGCAGTGAAACCGAATATGATATGGCCCCTAAGGAGCTTATGGTTTATTTTCACTATTCTCATTACTAACAGCCTCCATTTATTGTGTCCCGTTCTTATAATGAGGTGGCCACTGAATCCCCTCAACAAAGTGAGGTGCATATAATTAGTATTGCCATTTTGTAGAGTGGTGGGCTGAGCCCCAGAGGGATATGGAAATTTCCCCGGGTAGTCCAGCTAGTAAGTGGCCTGGGAGGCAGGATTTCAACCCACGTCTGTCCGACTCGCAGCCAGATCCCAGCCCCACTACACCACACTGTTCCTTCTGCTCTTGGACAGAATGGCCATAGTGGCCCTGAGCCGTGCATGCCCATGCTCTCACCACTTTGGAGGAGATGTAAGCGAGGAGGAGAGGGAATGTGGAAATCAGGGTGTCCAGAGCCATTTCTGAGCCGGTGACCTGGCTTCCCAGCAAGACCTTCCAAGGGCAGAGCCCCTGTTATTTTTGTATCCTGGGTGTGTCTAACTTTTACCCTCCGTGGCCCAGGGCAAACACTCAATTAATGAAGGTGAAAGATGGGAGGGGGAAAGGGGTACCAGGCTTTGCAATAAGAACTTTGTTTTTTAAGTTGTCTATTTTAATCCTGAAAACAGTTAGGTGAGGGGACCATCCTCATTTCTCGGACAAGTAAAGTGCCAGTAAGTGGCAGACCCGTGATCTGAGCCAGGTGTCGCCGAACCAATCACTTTCTCAAGAGCCTGTGATCCTCCCATCTTATCACACTGCCTCTCTTAAATGCAAAAATTGTGTGGATTTTTGAGATTCTCATATACCCTATATGACCATAATAATATCTTTTTAAATAGTAAATAGACCTTCTTTTTAAGTGATTGGTAGAAAGGCTGATGAGGGGAACTCAGGATAATCCAGATCTATGAATGCTGACCAAGGGCATCTGCTCACCCCAGCCACCACCCTATAGCCCCTTGATGTTGGAAAGTAAATTCTAATATTAATGGAAGGTGTGTGTGTGTGTGTGTGTGTGTGTGTGTGTGTAAAGTATGTATGAGAAACTGTCAGCATTCATGTAGAAATAGAAAGAATATATTCTTTTTATTTGTTCCCTACTCTTTATTCTATACATATAATTACCTTTTTCTTTTGCGTGGTCTGAGAGAAGATTTTCTAGAGAAAGAAAAGTAAATGAGATTCTGTGCCATTATTGTGGGGGGTCCCCAACTCCTATTGAGTTCATCAGCTCTTGAAGCTCCCTATCTCCACCTCCACCTCTCTGACACAGGCCTTCACATGACCAAAGAAAGATCAAAATCCTTCATACGATCTACAAGGCCTCACCTGGCCTGACCCCTGCTATGTCCACAGACTCATCCTCTGTCACCTTTCCCCTCACTTCTGCACTGTGTTTCTCTTGCATTCTGTTCTTTCTGCCATGGAAGGTTTTCGGGTCCCTCTTTCTCCAAGCCTGCCCATCCTCCAGATCAAACATCACTTCCTCTGGGGACTCCTTTCCTGTCCCTCAAGTTTGGTTGGTTGGTTCCTCTTGGTTCTAGTCTTTTTTTTTTTAAGATTTTAAAAATTTATTTGAGAAAGAGAGAGACAGAGATAGTGAGAGACAGCATGAGTGGGGAGGAGAGGGAGAAGCAGGCTCCCCGCCAAGCAGGGAGCCCCACATGGGGCTCAATCCCAGAACCCTGGGATCATGACCTGAGCTGAAGGCAGATGCTTATCTGACTGAGCCACCCAGGTGGCCCCTCCTGGTTCCAGTCTTTACGACCCTTAGAACTTCCTCTGGTGGCATTTGTGCACATTTATTTATGCACTTTCTTCACCCACGTATACTTCCCTGACTAGACTGAAAGCTCCCAGAAGGCAGACTGTGTCTACTTTGATTCATCATTGTGACCCCAGCATCTAGTATAGTCTGGGAAGCTTAGTAGACAATTACTCATTGCCGAATGACTAAAAGCTTCGCCCGCCTCAGGTCTACATGACTCCAACAGAATAAGATCAAGCAATGAGTTCACATACAAAAATCACCAAATGTACTGGAAGGCAAGCTATGACATGTAAGAGTGTGAAAACTGGAAAGAACAAGTATAGATTCCCCCACCCCCACCCCTACCACCGCCCCCACGGACAGCAGGTGTTGGAATTTTTAGGTACACAACTTAAATTAGTGGGTACTGGGAGCACAAAACAGCAAACACAGAAGCATCCCCCCTTCCCTCAGCTCAGGACACTTACCTACCTCCATCACCTGTTCATAGAGAAGTTTCTCTAGAAGACAGAGAAAAGGATGTCAGCTCAGTTTAAGGTAGGGCTTTTCCTAATAGGCAGGACTGTCCAAAGATGGTTCAAGCTGCCTGAGTAGGACTGTGCTCCTTGTCGTTGTGGGAATGTGACTATTTGAAAGGATCAGAGGGGGATCCCTGGGTGGCACAGCGGTTTAGCGCCTGCCTTTGGCCCAGGGCGCGATCCTGGAGACCCGGGATCGAATCCCACGTCGGGCTCTCGGTACATGGAGCCTGCTTCTCCCTCTGCCTGTGTCTCTGCCTCTCTCTCTCTCTCTCTCTCTCTGTGACTATCATAAATAAAATTTAAAAAAAAGAATTTTTTAAAAAAGAGAAAGGATCAGAGGGTCTTTGAACCATTGGATGGGGGAAGGAGTGTTGGATTCTGTGACTTTCAGGGTCCTTTGCAACCCTGTGAGCCTGTGAAATTCTACCAAATTTATGGGGTTTTATCTAATGTATAAAATTGCATTTCTTAATTAATTATAAGGCTGGTATGATCAGTTATTTTCTAACTTATCAAAAGATAAGGATCCACAGCTCTGCCCAGGAGTTTTCTGCAGTTTCTCTGGTCCTTTCTGCATTGTGAGTCCCCAAGCATGGCTCTTACCAGTTTTCTCTCAGCCATTTTGCAGGGTCCCCAACCTACGGATAATGCATGTCCATGTCTACTACTCCTGGCCATTTCCTAGAGACATCTCAGTCCCACTTCCAGCCAGCTGGGACTTCCTTACCACTTAGTTACCTTTCGATCTTCTTTGCTTCCAGATGAGGTAAATGCCCACCATGATGAGAAGCCCCAGGACAGGCAGGATCACAGCAAGAGCCACTGCTGAGGAGGAGATCCTCCCTGGAGATGGGGCTAAAACAGAAATCACCAATGACCACCCTCAAAGAGACATCTGACAGCTTCTTCCATACCAAGGACCCCACTTCTGATGGTAGATGGCTCAAGCACATCCCAACTGTCTCCATCGAGTCTAGGGAAAAACCTCTAGCCAAGACTGGTGAGGGTCTTTGCTTCTCTCAATAACCCCAACCCTGGATGACCCAGGGATGACCTTAAAGTGAGAAGTTCATTTCTTAGGAGTGTATTTGATGGTCCTGCCTGAAGACAATGGATTAAACTCAGTTTTTTCATCCACAACCTTGTCCTACCCTATATGGAACCCTTATCTGGGGAGTCTGGAGGATAGGCCATGCTTCCTCAGGGGTCATCTCAAGTCTTCTCATGAGCACCCACCAGCCTCTCCATCAAGTCCTCACGCTGCTGTGAAACAATAGTCGTGACATCTTGGCCCTGAGCCCTACCAGCAGGGGCAGCACAATTTCTGTGGTGCTACAGCAGCAGACCTAAAGCCTAGGCAGGAAGGAAGGAGAACGGAAGAAAAAAAAAAGAGCAGAAGAGGCTCTGTGACAAGTGGGGAAGGGTGTCAGCTGGATGCGAGACCTCACTCAACATGGTGTGACCCTGGGCAAGAGACTGAGCCTCCCCACGACTGGTTTATCATCTATAAAATAAAGATGATATAATCCCTGTCCCACTGGATTGTTGGGAGATTTAAAGAGATCAGGCATGTAAAGCACTTAGCACTTAGTGACAGGCAGTGGCAGTAGTAAGAGAAGGAAGGGAGACAGAGAGAGAAAACAGAAGGAATTCGCAGAAGTCATGACTCCTTCTCACCTGGGACCCCAGGCCACAGTCTGTCTTTCTTGGCTCTAAAACCACTCTGCTCTGCCACCTGGCTCCATGTTTCGAGGGTCTTTAAAAGATTCATACCCCTTTGACCCTTAATTCTACCTCCAGAAACACATTCTAAGAGAAAAATTAGAATCACATCCCAAAATAGGTGTAAAGACGTGTACTGCACCGCTCATTATAATAGGAGGAAAAATTGGAAACCATCCAGATGTCCAGAAATAGGGCTTTGACTAATTTTCTTATGCTATAACCACACAACAAAGTACTGTGAAGCCCTTAAAAATCATGTTGCAGAGAACTCTCTAAGGACATGGGCAGAAAATGCTCATGACATTGTAATTGAAGGGAGACAGACCCAGCTGAAGAACAAACATGCAAACAAACATGCAAACACATATGCAAATACATGTGCTCTCAGAGATGCACACATCTGAGAAAGTCTTGAAAGAAATGTCCCAAAATGTTAGTGGTGGTTCTCTCTAATTTATGACATTATAGGCCAATTTTTGGTTTCTTTAAAATGTTCATTTTTTTCTTTTCTTTTTTTGTTCATTTTTTTCAAGTTTTCTATCACAAACACGTGTTACTCTTAGAATTTAAAAGAAAATTGAAAATTCTTTATAAAGTTCCCATTAAAGGAGGTCTTTTCACCAGGGGCTTTCAGCCCATTTACTGCTGGGACTTTTACCTGCTATGACCATGGCTGTGGTCTTCTCTTGGCCAAGGGCCACGTTGCGGAGGGAGCAGGACACATTCCCGACCGTGCTGTCCCTGACTCTGCTGGACACCGCTATCCGGAAGAGCCCGGCTTCCTGGGAATCAGCATCCCACACGAGTTGAAGCGCTCTGCCTTGAGGGTCTCTCCACTGGGCCAAAGGCTTTGGGAACCATCCCTCCGACCTGCACACCAGCTGGATCCAGCCAGCGTCGTAGCCCTTCACGTGGATGTAGGGGTCAGAGCCTAGAACTGGAGGGGGACGGGGAGCAGAGATGCCTGGCAGTGGGGAGCTGTCCCTGTCGGAGCCCCATCCCCCTTCCCGCAGCTTGGGGGGGCTGTTGGTGGCACTTGCACTCGCACCCTCTCCCCACCCCCAAGTTCCTCCCAACCAGGTGGGACAGTCTCTGGCTTCATCCTCAGGCCTTCGCAAATACGCCCTAGGGCTAACCGCACCCCACGATTCAGACCTTGGGGGCATCTCGGTCCCCCTTTGGAAATGACTAACCTGCCACCTGCAGGGTCACGCTGCCGTCTCGAGTCACATTTCCGACCTGGACTTGGCATCGGTAGGGCCCTCGGTCCTCCAGCCGGACATGACGGATCTCCAGGATGACGCTCCCCTCCTGGGGGTCCCTGAGCAGCGCCGTCCGCCCCTTGAATTCGGGGGTCACGCCTTCCTCCTGGTCTGTCCCGTCCCGGAACACGTGCACGAGCTGGGAGCCGTCAGGGTGTGGGGACCGCAGCCACCTCACCATGGTGGGCACGGTGACCGGCCACAGGGCCAGCGGGCAGAGCAGCTGGGCCGTGCCCCCCAGTGGGGCCAGGTGCAGGTCGCCGGTGAGCCCTGTGCAGTGTGGACAAAAGAGGGACAAGGGTGTCTGCAAGGGAGGGACGGGCACAGGAGCTGGGGATGGATGACCAGGCTGTCCCTGCGCAGGGCAGGGCTGGGAAGGGCATTGGAAAGGACTGGGGGGAGAGCAGGACTTGGCAAGAAATAAGGCCCCCTTGTTCTTGAGACTCCTTGGGTAGGTGTCCCAGGTCGGGAAAGAGGGCCACCATCTCCCACCTGACACGGTCGCCGGCAGCAGGAGGAACGCGAGGGCCAGGAGGCAGCCGGGCAGCCAGGAGCCAGAGGAATTTGCCATCTCCATCCGAGCTAGGAGGACAGACGCAGGGAGACACCAGAGAGGGCTGGTGAGCTTGATGTGGGAAGGGGGACAATATAAGGAGGTGGGGTGCCCATGCAGGCTGCACAGCCGGGGCTTGGACATCACGCAGTTTGCAGTGGGAATCCCAGCTCTGCTACTCGCCTCCACGTAAACTTAGGACTCAACTTCTCCGTGTAGCCTGGTGACTGAGGCTCTGTTCACCCATATTTATTTATTTATTTATTTATTTATTTATTTATTTATTTATTTATTTATTTATATTTATGATAGTCACACACAGAGAGAGAGAGAGAGAGAGGCAGAGACACAGGCAGAGGGAGAAGCAGGCTCCATGCACCGGGAGCCCGACGCGGAATTCGATCCCAGGTCTCCAGGATCATGCCCTGGGCCAAAGGCAGGCGCCAAACCACTGCGCCACCCAGGGATCCCTGTTCCCCCATATTTATTTTTTATTTTTTATTTTTTTTATAAATTAATTTTTATTGGTGTTCAATTTACCAACATACAGAATAACACCCAGTGCTCATCCCGTCAAGTGTCCCCCTCCGTGCCCGTCACCCATTCACCCCCACCCCCCGCCCTCCTCCCCTTCCACCACCCCTAGTTCATTTCCCAGAGTTAGAAGTCTTTATGTTCTGTGTCCCTTTCTGATATCTCCCACACATTTCTTCTCCCTTCCCTTATATTCCCCTTCACTATTATTCATATTCCCCAAATGAGTGAGAACATACACTGTTTGTCCTTCTCCGATTGACTTACTTCACTCAGCATAATACCCTCCAGTTCCATCCACGTTGAAGCAAATGGTGGGTATTTGTTGTTTCTAATGGCTGAGTAATATTCCATTGTATACATAAACCACATCTTCTTTATCCATTCATCTTTCGATGGGCACCGAGGCTCCTTCCACAGTTTGGCTATTGTGGACATGGCTGCTAGAAACATCGGGGTGCAGGTGCCCCGGCGTTTCATTGCATCTGAATTGTTCCCCCATATTTAAAATAGGTATAAGAACTGTGCCTCCTGGTAGGGTGACTGTGAGGATTGAAGGAGGTAAGTGCTCAACACAGAGGCTGGTGTCATGGTTGTGTATCTATAAGTGCCAAGAGTGAGGACATGGTGACATGGAGGGGGAGGCACTGAGTAGTGTGATTTGGAAGGCATAGGGACGAATCTGGAAGAACGAGAACTTGCCCCTTGCACACTGGCTTCCTAGAACATTCAGTGTCCTAAGCCAGGCTCGAAAAGGGCCTGTTGAGGGCCAATATTCCACCTACAGTGGATTCAAGTCTTGGCTCCACTCAAGTACCAGCTCTGTGTCCCTGGGAACACTGGTTACTGTCTGTGGGCCTCCAGTGCTTGATCTGTAAAGCTGGAACCTTCTTCCCAGGTTCAAGGAGATAATGCATCGAGAGCACTCACCACAAATGTCCGGTAGAGCAAGCACTCGAGAAATGTGCTATAGTCATTATTATGAATTCACCGAGCGCATAAACCACAAGCACACCCTAGAGGATTCCCTAGTATAAAACTCTCTCCCCACCTACTTGCTACTGCCTGAAATTCCTTTAGCCGGAAACAAATCTTTCATACTACAACTGGGGATGAAGTTTAAATGTAAAACCCCTCGAAATGGGATAGCTGGGTTGCTCAATCAGTTAAACAGCAGATTCTTGGTTTCAGCTCAGGCCATGATCTCAGGGTTGTGAGATGGAGCCTCTCGCTGAGCCCAGGACATGGAGCCTGCTTGAGATTCTCTCTCTCCCTCTTCCTCTGTCCAGCTTGCCAACCCTAGCTGTGCGCACGCTCTCTCTCTCCAGGAAGAGATAATGTCTCTTGAGTTCTCCCCAAGATTTCAAATCCTTTTCAAGGAGGAGGGTTTTTGTAGAAATCATCAGGCCAGGCCCCTAAAGGTCTTGGAATAGAGCAAAATGGGATTTGGAGGAGGTGGGACTGTCAAAGGAAGGTTGGGAAACTGAAGTTGGACTTAAGCTTTGAGCAAAATTCCAATTCTGTTTCTCTCATGGCAAACAGCACACTGCCTTAGGGTTGTTTTTGTTTTTCCATCATGATGCATGTAACAGCCATCTCTAACCCCCTGGGGTTGCAAATGGCCACAAAGAGCACTGGAACACAGTGTGGTCAGGATTACAGTTAGGACTTTGTTTTTTCCTCTGTCCCACCCACTTTTCCACAGGTTAACAGCTACTCAGAAATTGAACCAGAGGGGCTTCTGCCTTTGGCTCAGGTCATGATCCCAGAGTCCCAGAGTCTCAGGATCGAGCTTGCAAGGAGCCCCACATGGAGCCCTTGGCTCAGCGAGAGTCTGCTTCTCCTTCTAACCCTCCCCCATTCTCATGCACTCTCTCTCTCTCTCTCTCTCTCAAATAAATAAAATCTTAAAAAAAGAAAAGAAATTGAATGAGAGAAGTTTAGGCAAAGGAGAAAAGCTCTCTGCCTTATTAATTATCATCGGAGATGGAAGTAGGCAGGGCCCAGGATCCCAGGGAATTATCCCAATCCCCAAAACCCTCACCTAGAAGGTCTTTTGTAACACAAGAGTGACACAGAGCTCCACGATGAATCAGGGCTGCTTGAAATCATGTAGGAGGAAACCCCCCCACAGGCCCACCTTCCGAGATTCAGAGAGATTATTAAGTGATTAAGAGGATGGGCTCTCATACTGTGGAAGGAGCCTCGGTGTCCATTGAAAGATGAATGGATAAAGAAGATGTGGTCTATGTGTACAATAGAATATTCCTCAGCCATTAGAAAGACAAATACCCACCATTTGCTTCAACGTGGAGGGACCTGGAGGGTATTACGCTGAGTGAAATAAGTCAATCGGAGAAGGACAAACATTATATGGTCTCATTTATTTGGGGAATATAAAAAATAGTGAAATGGAATAAAGGGGAAAGGAGAAAAAATGAGTGGGAAATATCAGAAAGGGAGACAGAACATGAGAGACTGGTAACTCTGGGAAACGAACAAAGGGTGGTGGAGGGGTAGGAGGGTGGGGGGTGGGGGTGGCTGGGTGACGGGCACTGAGGTGGGCACTTGATGGGATGAACACTGGATGTTATGCTATATGTTGGCAAATTGAACGCCAATAAAAAATAAATTTTAAAAAATAAATAAAAACTAAAAGAAAAAAAAAGAGGATAGACTCTAGAATCGGTTTGGGTTCCAGCCCTGGCTCTGCCATTACCTGGCTATGTGACCTTAGACAGGTTAGTTACTTAGTTGGTCAGTTTCTCCAAGTGTCCTCTCCATTCACACATGAAAGGAAGCTAATAATAGAAGAGTACCTATCTCATAGCTAGGGCTATAGTGAGGATTCATAGAAAATACATGTGAAATAATTTGCACGAGATTTCGAGAATAAAAAGCAAATGAAATCCTTCCATCATGCTGTCACTCTGTAATGAGGGCAGCTGAGGTGGCTTGAGGAGGGGAGTCTCCCCAAAGCACATTACAAGTTATTAAAGAACAGAGAAAGCCACAGTGGGAGCAGACTAACCCAGGGGAGGATGATACCAGAAGTAGGACATCCATTCTCTAGTCAAAGAAGAGAACCACAAAGTAAGATCACTGTTAGATGTGTTGCATCTTCCTTTCAAATTATCTAATACTAAAAAAAAATAATAACCCCCAAAGTTATCACACACATGGGCAAACCAACTCTCTTGTTCAATGCTAAGCAACTGTCACAAGTATAATGTAGCCATAAGTATCAAACGATTTGTAAAGATGCAGAAGTTTTAACCCAGGAGTTTCACTTCCAGAAAAGAATCCTACAGGCATTAGTAAGGATGTGCATAAGGATTTGCTGGTGAGGTTGCTCATCACAAAGTTATTTTTGAAAAGGAAAAACTGAAACTGAAAAGTCCACTAAAATGAGAATAGTGAACTATTTATGATACATTCCTACAACGAAATTCTATGCAGCATTTCATACACGTCATAGGACAATCTTTAATAGTACTGGGAAGGGGGATCCCTGGGTGGCGCAGCGGTTTGGCGCCTGCCTTTGGCCCGGGGCGTGGTCCTGGCGACCCGGGATCGAGTCCCACGTCGGGCTCCCGATGCATGGAGCCTGCTTCTCCCTCTGCCTGTGTCTCTGCCTCTCTCTCTCTCTCTCTGTGACTATCATAAATAAATAAAAAAAAAATAGTACTGGGAAGTTTTTACTATAATCAAAACAATAACTTTAAATACAATATGTCTTTGGGGGGGCAGAGCAGAGCAGGGGTGAAGGAAAACCATGGTATTCAACGTGCATTTCCAAGTCCGATGGGGAGAAGAAACCTAAGAACAGGGGAGGAAACTAAAAGATGGTAGAGGGGAGACAGGATAGAAAAAAATACTGAAAATATAAAAGGGTGAACATAGAGGCTGTTGGAGTCCTCCATCACTGGCTGTCTAGATGCTACCTCTGTTATTGTAAGTCCCCCCAGTACAGCACGTCCCCCCAATACACAGCTGTATGTAAACATGCTTTTTTTATTGCTATATCAAAATTCTAATTCTTTTCTTTATACTCATCCAACTTCAAGGAACCAAAAGCCCTTTTTCCTCACTATGTTCCCTGGTTGTAGCCTCAAATTCCCTGATCTGTGAGCCCTTCACATTGCCCTCTGGGACAGGTGTTTCCTGCCCTGACAGGCACCCACCAGTCAGCCAGCTCCAACTAACTTCCAGGATAACCCCATAGAATTTCAGCTATTTTTAAAAAAGGCTTTTATTAAATAAAATGTATTGCTTTTTCTATCCTACTTAATGTAGAGAATCTGGAAAGTACCCAAAAGAATGGCTAAAAAAATTTTAAATTATCTGTAATCCTTTCACCCCAGAGATATGTTTCTTCAAGTATTTTTTCTGTGCATGTGTATAGCTTTTTTTAAAAAAAATTGGACCACACTGTGGATACTGTTGATATCTGATATTTTCCCTAAGCACTGCATTATGTCCATTTTCCC